TGGCGCCTCCATCCCTGTGGAGTTGAGGTATGCCACCCTCCCAGGACATGGATGTATGTGTCAACTCAGAATGTCCCCAAATCCCATCATTCAGGTGTTTTTATGGAAGTTTCATTATTTAAGCATGACTGTGGCCATTGGCAATGAACTCAATCTCCAGCTCTTCCTTCCACCCCAGAGGCTGGGGGGCAGGGAGGATGAAGCTGAAAGTTCCAAGATTCTGATCAACTCTTGACCTTTCTGGAGACTGGCTTCTACCCCAATGCTATCTAGGATATCAAGAGTCACCTCATTGGAATACCTCATCATTCCAGAAATTCCAAGAGTTTTAGAAGCTCTGTTTCAGGAACTGGGGACAAAGACCAACTATCTTTCTGATCTTACCGCAGCAATTTTACTTCTCCTTTGCCATGGAAGGTAACATATTCACAGGTTCTGGGGGTGAGAATGGGAACATCTTTGGCAGGGGAGGGGGCGTTATTCCACTGACCACAGCATCTAGTGCAATTTGTGAGCACTGTAGTGCTTTAGGAAACTCAATGTGCTAGCATTATGGTGCACGGATGGAGGGTTAGCCAAAAGACTACAGCCCAAGTGCTTGTATTAGGGTGATGGAGAGAAAATAGAAAGGGAGGAGTCTGCAGGGCATTGACAAAGCAGAAATAATAATTATGTAACAAATATGGAGCTCACGATAGTTCTGTTAGATCATGCCCTACAATGAATACATCAGTTCTCTGATGACCTAGTAAATGCATTATGAGAATGTTAACAATCTACATTAGTTTTAAATAAACACATAAGAGGGGCGCCTGGGTGGCTCAGTCGTTAAGCGTCTGCCTTCAGCTCAGGTCATGATCCTGGGGTCCTGGGATCGAGCCCCGCATCGAGCCCCGCATCGGGCTCCTTGCTCGGCGGGAAGCCTGCTTCTCCCTCTCCCATTCCCCCTGCTTGTCGTTCCTGCTCTCGCTATCTCTCTCTCTATCAAATAAATAAATAAAAATCTTATAAATAAATAAATACACACATAAGAGTCTAATTCTAGGGACCCAAATTTCCTCTGCTGACAAACTATCTTCTTGTTACCATGAAAAAATTCTGAAGCATCTCATTTATATTCCTTACCTCCTCCCTCCTTCCCTCACCTCACCTCACATTCTTCCATCACTGGTTAATGTGGATGTGGGATGTGGGGAGGGAGCACAGAAAGAGACACCCTCCCCCCAAGCTTCATCCTATCCCATGATATCTGTGATTCACAATCAACAGCCTTTCTCTCGGTGCCTGCCAAGAACACCTTTACAGGTTTGTAAGTCATCGGCTCCTCTTAACCATCACCAACATCCCTAGCAGCACCTTCTATGTAAAAACAATTGCATATTGATAAGTTAGTCTCACGGTTGGTCAGTAATAGCCAAAATCCCTCTAGGTGGCAAATGTGCCCAGGCACCTCTGTTTCAGATATCGTCATTTATTCCAAAAATAAAGATCGTGGCCATTTAAGAAGTATGGTTCAGAGGGGGGGGAGAAAAGATTGATCATGCAACTATGATATGATTTAGAGAGACGAGAATATTTCTTGAAATCTAAGTCATCATCAACTGTGAGATGCACCCTATTTTAGGCTCTGGGATCTGGTGCGGGGTCTCTCAGGAGGCTGCAGTGAAGCTATTGGCTGGGGCTGCTTCCATCCGGGGCAGAGAATCCACTTGCAGGCTCACACACGGGTTTGTCGGTACCTCCAGGTCCTGCCACCTGTTGGCCAAATATCCTGCCACCTGTTAGCCAAATACCCCGGGGCCTTGCTAAGTGGCCAAACTGTCAGCAACCTGAATGTCTCCCCCGGAGCGAGGAGAGCCCAGGATGGTGGAAGAAAGCCCAGCCTTTTATAGCCCGATCACAGAAGTAACCCGCACTGACTTCTGCTACGTTCTATTGGTCACACAGACTACCTCTGGTACAACGACGGTGAGGATCCTTCAAGGGCACGAATCAGGTTACCAAAGTACATGCTACCAAAAGGAACCTGAAACTAATTTGCTTCTTTAGGTAACATTTATTGGGCACTTACTACATACCTTGCCCCATACTAAGCACTAGTAACTCATTTAAAAGAATTAAATGAGGGGCACCTGGGTGGCTCAGTCGGTTAAGCGTCTGCCTTCGGCCCAGGTCATAATCCCAGGGTACTGGGATCGAGCCCCAAGTCGGGTTTCCTGCTCGGCGAGGAGCCTGCTTCTCCCTCTCCCCACCCCCCCGCTTGTGCTCGCTCTCTCTCTCTTTCAAATAAATGAATAAAACCTTAAAAAAGAAGATTAAATGAGAACAACAATCCTATGGGATGAAACCTATTATTATCATCTCTCTCTCTTTTTTTTACAGGTGTAGAAACTAAAGCTTAGATAGGTTAAGTAACCTATCCAAGGTCACCAGTTAGTCAGGGAGAGGGCTGGGACTTCTGATTTTTTCACTAAAATGCTACCCAGACTTTGCTTCAATACATATTATTGAATATGTCAACAAGGAAATCCCATTATCAAATTAGATAATTTGAGAATCTCCAAGTTCTTTGTTTTCTTGACTATCGCCATCACCAGTCCATAAGAAGGTACTCCATTGCATTATGACACTTTAAACTTTAGCTTCTTTAATTTGTTATGGTAATTATTTACGGTTTTTAAAATCGAGTGTGATGGTCATTGGCTCTGTGCTGTCTGTACCTTCACGAGCAAAACTGCCTGCCAAAACCCTTGGTTCACACAATAGTAGGTATCATTCTGAAAGACAGGACAGAAGAATAAAGTGTAGACTTCTGAGAAAATCTGAACAATTTCCTCTGAAGACATAATAGTCTCAGAAGATAGTATTTAAAATTATTTTCATAACTTTATAAAAGAAATGTAAGACGAAAGAGGCTGCTTTTTATTCTAACATAGAGATGTTCAAATACTAATTATCTCAAACACCTGTCAAAGACTAGACATGATCACACTCCCCCTATATTCAGGAGCAATAAAAAGAAAAAGTAACATAACTTTTAGACTGCTCTGTGAGCACAAAGTAAGTACAAGTAAGTCCTGAGTCACAAGTCCTTGTGACCCTAAGACTCATCACCTCCAATGACTCATTCTAACCCATCTGATAAAGTAGCTAGTTCACTGGGTTTCCAATTCATATCAGACAAAGCAATTTTCTTAAATCTCTGCACGTAAAACCTACTAGCATCATCAGTGTGGAAACACAGCCATCACATCCAGAAGAAAATAAGGATTTAAGGTACTCACAGTTGGATCAACTGGATGGAGCATGAATTAGCAACCAGTGGTAACCAAGCAAAGAAAGCAGTGGACCAGGTACTCACAGGGAATCAACTCATTGTCAAGTCCTTCCTTGAGGAGCACAGAGCTAATGAAGTCTATCCTTGGGTGGGGTCTGGCTGGGGCCCAAGAGTGGGAGCAGGGAAGACCAGACTAAGAAGGCCAGCAGTCCAGACCATCACAGAGTAAGGGTGTTCCCAGGACAGGGGTGGGGGGCAGAGAGGAGTGCAGGTATGGGGCAAAGGGCAGGGATGAGGGGGTAGGAATCCAGTAGACAGTAGAGAGTTCAGGGACTCAGCATTTCTGCAGGCTAGGCGGTGATCAAAGAAGCAATGGATGCTGACAAGTCATGAGGGCCAAGTTTTGAACCTATAAGTCCAAGTCTTTGCACTCTGTCTCTTTAGGAAGCAGAGATCCCAACAGCCTGGCTAGTGACCGGGTATTCTGAGTGTGGCACCCGAGAACCACACAAACACTGAGTATTTGGCCACTCCGTTTCCTCAGTGCACATCACAGAATTCTGCAGGGGTTTGAAGCTGGGGAAGTTTGCCAACAGAAGGATATACATGGAGCTAGTTCACTCACAGTTTTTGTTCTGGATGCATACCAGATTCTCAGTAACTTATTTTTGTTCATTAGAGAGAGAGAGAGTGAGGGAGAGGGAGAGAACGAAGGAGGAGGAGAAGGAGGAAGAAGCGAAAGATGAGTAAGGGTGGAAGGGTCAAAGGAAGGAAAGAGGAAAAGAAATAAAAGAGAGACAGAAAGATGAAAAAGAACGGAAGGAAGGAAAGAAGGAAGAGATAGAGGGACATCAGTTTGGTGGGAATGCGCGTATGCGCGCGTGCACACACACACACACCCCACTGTGATCGCCCTAAAGAAATTAGCTATTTTCTGGTTATACCTATTACCTTAGCCCCTCTTTAGAACATCCTTTGGGGGTAAAAGCAGATAATGGCTGGGATAACTCTACATATTTTGGTTTAAATTTGTTTTTATCTCTAGGTTAAGTTATATTTTGCTTTTGTCTGAAACATAATCTTAAAGACAGAGGGTCTCAAGGCAAATAATTGTCAGTCAGAAATACTAAAAGTGGTCAGGATGTGAACTAAGTAGACTCTGCCGAGAATGTCCCCAGCAGATGGCGCAAGCTGCCCTCTGCTGTGATGAGACTTCTCACAGTGATCCATTTAGTATCAAAATAGGTTTCTTCTTCATATGATGATTCAAACAGTAGATCCTAACCAGGTGAGGAGCTAGGTGAGAAATCAGTCAGCAGGATGCCAAGAGACATTATGAAGGGAAGACGAAATCGGGAAGATTTTAATGTTATATCTCATGTTGAACTGTTTAAAAACACGCTATGACCTCACACATAATATTGTTCCATTCATATCATTTTGGGCTCTGAAAAGTTAAGAATTCTTTCAAGACAGAGTTTTATGTTCAGTGCCAAAGGACAACAAAGTACCAAGAATTATGGTATCTGAAAATATTTGTATTAATTGGTGAAGGGCTTATAATGGAGAAAGTTTTCCCATAACAAATTAAAGATAAATCAACTCCCAAGGAAACCTCGGGAAAGGGGACGTTGATTAGAGATTGTTGAGATCAGCCAATGTTTCTGCTGCTTCGCTAGTTTCTTACAAATAAATACAGTGTTCTTGCTCACATGCTGAGCTCTGGGCTAATGCATTTTTTTGTGAGCAAGCCAACAGTAGAACCAAAAACATGTGCATCCCTGGGGACAAGGTAACGCTCTTTGGGAAGGCAGGAACATAGTATGTTATCCTTGGAATCATCTTCAAAATCTGGAACAGAAAACAGAACTTTATTAATCAAGGCTTCTTAAACGTCTGCCCTCAAACAAGAGTTTGGAATGTTCAGGTCAGTGACTAATTTCCAGTGAATAGCTGTCCTGCACCTACCGCCTTCCTTCCCTCACATCCACTGATGTTTTAACTCCCCTCCGTCTGCTTCCCTGTCCATCTGCCATGAGAACTTTACTTTTGAAAGATATTTTAAAATATAAAAGTAATGTATGTGAGGGGTGCCTGGGTGGCTCAGACGGTTAAGGGCCTGCCTTCGGCTCAGGTCGTGATCCCAGGGTCCTGGGATCGAGCCCCGCATTGGGCTCCCTTCTCAGCCAGAAGCCTGCTTCTCCCTCTCCCCCTGCTTGTGTTCCCTCTCTAGCTGTCTCTCTCTCTGTGTCAAATAAATAAATAAAATCTTTAAAAAAAAAAAAAGTAATGTATGTGAACCGCAAGAAACTCGAAAACACTGAACAGCATTAAAGAGAAATTTCCCATGCCTGAGTAGATATTGGCAACACAGACTTCTAACAAAAGCTTGTGTCCAGAATATACAAAGAACTCCTACAAATCAATTAAAAAAAAAAACATTAAAGAGAAAAATGAGCAACAGATTTGAACAGACACTTCACCAAGGAGGATATTCAAATGTACAGTCTCAATTTTGTTAGTAACCAGCTGTAAATGAAAACCATGATGTGTGTGAGGATTTTAAAATAAGTCCAGGGATGCCTGGGTGGCTCAGTGGGTTAAGAGGCTGCCTTTGGCTCAGGTCATGATCCCAGGGTCCTGGGATCGAGTCCCACATCGGGCTCCTTGCTCAGCGGGGAGCCTGCTTCTCCCTCTGCCTGTGCCCCCCCCCACGCTTGTGCTCTCTCTTTCTCTCAAATAAATAAAATCTTTTAAAAATAAAATAAGATAAAATAAGTCCACACATTCTTTGCTACTTCTCCCTTCACGACATGGGGACTAGTTCCTTTGAGGGCCCTCTAGGAGTAAACACTGGCTTCCAACAGAGAGAATAAAGCAGATGGAAGTGTGTGGCTTCCCCCTCGCCCCCTCTCATGAATCACTCAGAGTAGAGCGGGCAACCAGCTGTCATGTCAGGCGGCTGTCTGCTCGAAGAGTCCAAGGGAGACCCAAACGGTGAGGAACTGGAGCCTCGAGCCAAACTCTGAGGAGAAGACCCTGAGCAGAACTGCCTTGCTAAGTCACTCCTAAAGAAGTGGTGACCCACAGGAACGTGAGATAATGAAGTTTTTAAGCCACCAAATTTGGGGCTAATTTGTTACATAGGTATCCAATAGGATACCACCACACACACACCAAAATAGCTAAAATTTTAAAGTTTGACATATCAAGAACTGGTTAGGATATGCAGAAAGGGAATTCTCATTGCACCTCTGCTGGTGGGGTGTGTAACTGGTACAACCATTCTGGAAAACCGTGTGAATGATCTCCCTAACCGTGTGAATGAACAGATACATACCCTACCCCGCAAGTCCACTTCTAGGACACACGTACAGAAATGCACGCACATTAGGCATCAACACTCGTGCAAGAATATTCACAACAGCATCATATAATAGCCCAAACTGAAAGTCCACCAACAGTATTTGGATTAATAAATGGTGGCGTGTCCACACGATGGAGTGCTAATCAACAGCCGCGACAATTCATGAACTCTAGCGGCACGGACTAAGACAGCGGAGTCTCACAGGATGCGCGAAAGAAGCCAGACACCAAAGAATTAACCCTGAATAGATTCTATAGTCAGCATCCAGTAACGAGAGACAAACCACACCGCTTATCCCAATAGAGAGAATGTATTATAAAAATCTGTTAACTAGGTATAAAGCTATTAACTAGACGACGAAAAGTCAAAAAGAGGTCTCCGGGAGGTAGCTACTAACCCCTCGGACTGGGGAATAAAAAGAAAAAAGTTGGAATTCCTGAAATCCAGCCACTTGGAGGCAGGGCCCCGGCGCCGCCCTCTGGTGCTGGGACTGGCGTCTGGGGGGGGCGCTGAGGCGGGTTCTGTAAGTATTGCGAAACTTACAAACTAGATGAAATTACTGCGGCAGGAAGCCGCCGCC